CAAGAGTAAACTTCCCGCTACAAAAGGGTTTACCATAGTGCACTGCAGGCTATAAAACATGGCCAGTTCACAGGAGCAACCTTAATTGAAATAGGTGTATACGTGTATATTTATGACGAAGGCAAGATCACGCCTCGCCTCCTCGCGCGTTGGTGCGCGCTGCGTGGGCGACAGATTTATAAACTTGCTTCCCGAGAATAATTGACGAGAATAATTCTTGCATGTTAGGAATGATAGCGAGGATAATTCTTGAATGTTAACGCACATAGAATAGTCCAACTGAAATAGTTCTTTACCGGCACATTTAGTTCAACGATCAAGTGTTCACCGAGTCGCGATCCTTGGCGTTTGGGCCATAGTGTCTGAGCTAGGACAAAAATATTTTCAATAAATGTATTAAGACCATAGTAGAAAATAAATTTTTGAAACCAACACGATTGCTTCGAGTCGTTTTCTCCTCTGTATCATGCAGAAATTTCCAAACGATATTTCACGGTTTGCCACTTGAAAATCGTGTTTTACTGTTTGCATGAATTACAGCAAAGGTCAAGGAGTAGTGACGTCACTGGACGGCATTAACGGCCGGTCGATTCAGACGTTACTGAGGGAGTAATAACGACTCGAAGTAATCGGATGAAATTCAGGCTAAATACTTGGGTGATAAAAAAAATGTTAAAGCCATAATCAAGCCTTTATCAAGCTTTCGTGCGTGCGCCAATAAGGACCCAGACTGAGTTGCTGTCAATTAAAAAGCATTCGTGCACGATGCGAATTAAAAAAATGTCAAGTTAACTCATCTTGAAACCAATTGTATATTGAATGTATCAATATATTTTTGTATTTTTCAGTTAGCCTTCTTTAAACGATGATAAAACTGCAAATAATTTTGAGACGTTGATTACTTTATTTAAGATTTTCATTTTTATCTCGGTCAGAAATGCTTTTTCGCATTAACACAACGGGAAAGATTTATCCTGCCTTCACAGACTGCCCAGACGTAGAGTATGTCAATATAGATTAATATTCACATGGACAAAATGGGATGAGTCGTCGAAATTCCCATGAACTAGTGTAGTCCAAAAGTCCAAATATAACAAAACAAAGCTAAGATACCTTTAACTGAACGTCTCCTTGTCTTTCCTGGCCGAATTAAATGAAATTGAATAAGATCGGTGAAGTTTGAGTACAGTAAAACGCTGCTAAGAAGAACCTAGGATTTAAGAAACTGCTGGCAAAAATTTGTCATTTTATTACTCCAAAATATAAGAACCAGTTTAGCCAAGAAAAATCAACAAGTTGTTATATGTGGGGCTAGACTACATTTTCATAAACATTTTGACCAAAAGTCTGGCTTTAATATGGGAAATTTATATGACATTATATAATAAATGTTGTATACAACCATTGTTGAAAACTGCATATCTTCTGGCTGTTAACTTAGTTTTGTTAGATTTTCAGGGGCACCCAACGACAATTTTCGGAAAATATCTGTTCGGAGGACGATTTGAGATCTAGAATTTTCGGAACATTTTTTCCAAAATTTCTTGCTTGTCTGCCTCTCCTAGGATTTTCGAACATCTAAAAAATGGTATAATTGCCCATTTTTAACGGATTTATACCCTAAAAAGGTCACCTAAAATTTTCGGGAGCCTTTTTTCTGGCTGAAATTTTCGAATAGGTAAGTTTTGATCCCTGTAATTTTCGAATCACTAGACTTTCAGCTACGATATCCGAACAGATGAAAAATTTTTAGGGGATAAAAATATGCCTATATCTACCGTTTTAATACTAAAATACGTTTAACAATGCTATGTTTAAGTGGTTTTGAACTATATTCTCGTTGGGTGTCCCTGGATTTTTGGTAAATAAATGCCTGTTATGAAGGACAAATACCATTTATAGCAATTTCTTGTAATCAACAACAGTATCCTTCTTCATAAAAATTAAATAGGAACCTAATATAATAAGAACCCATTAATATAGCCTAAACGTCCAATAAGTACTCCAAACTATAAGAATCTATTTTGCCAAACTTAAAAAAAAAACATCTACAATGGACCTGTTTTGATGAACTCTTTTACAAAAGTAATTACGCGTGATGGATTGCGTTGTTTTGATAAGGGTTTAGTTGCCGAAACGCATTTCTTTGGGGGGAGGGGGTCAAGTTTCAACGAAGGTACAAATGCATAGGGATCCGGCTTTCTTTTGAAGACCCAACAACATTGCTTCCAGGGGGAGAGGGGGAGGGAAGAATCGGTCGGCTACGAAGTTTAGAAAAAATGACCTCCAAGAAGGCAATTTTCTCAACAGTTTTGTCCAAGATTGTAGGTTCTTCTTCGCGGCGTTTTACTGTAATGCGAATAGACTTTTTTAAAAGTGACTTGTTGTCATCCAAACATTTTGCTACCATGGCAACGTGACATAACGACTTCTCCTCTCTACCGTAAACGATCTAATAAACGCCCACTCTCAAATAAACGCCTCTTATCTAATAAACGCCCCCCCTTACGCTGTTAAGCTAGTATTAAACGCCCCTCTCTAATAAACGCTCCCTGTCTAATAAACGCCTCCCTTGAAAATTGCCCCCAAATACTAGGAAATGGCGAAATAGAGCGAAATCAATCAATTTATTAATTTCATTGCTTGATTAACATCAGTTTGTGTATTATGTCATGTTCAATTTCTAGATAAGCCGTCAGGCCCGCAGTCGAGATTCTGTTAACACAAAAACGTTTTTAGCCGAAAGCATACTGTGGCAGTTATGTTGAGTTCCTTAAAATAAGTTACGAGAATAAACGCCTCTCTCTTTTAAACGCCTCCCATCTATTAAACGCCCCCTCTTGGACCCCTCAAATTAAATAAACGCCCCGGGCTTTTATTGAATCATTTACGGTATTGCTTTTTTTGCCGTTCCTGTTGCCGCCGCCGTCGTCGTTGCTTAAGTTCCCTAACCATAACAAATTATGACAGATTAGGCGGGTCAAACTGTAAGTTCATGCTCCATTTAGGCAAAAAAAAAATGATCTAAAATCAAATTCAATAAAAAAAACGTATATATCCGGCGATAAATTTGGATGTACAAGCCATACTTTACTTTCTTTTATTATATAGACACGAGTGTTTTACTGGAAAATATATCACTCGTAAAATTCATAAAAACTACATCCGGGACCCGAGTGGTTTATTTTCCATAATCTCACACTTGAGTTTATCGATAACATAATTTCGGTAATTTTCCTTTGAAATGTGTTGGCGTCTTGCGTCTTTTGAATTTGACTTACACATTTTTCAAAGTTTTGCTTATATTTTGTCATTGTAGAGCCCTATTCAGGTCAGTGCTATTTCTCAAGATTATTGTAACCAATGTCTTATTCCTGTACTGTAAATCTAAGCCGTCACAATTACTTTTTGGCGAATAAAAATCTATTATTTTATCGATGTCTTTTTGTCTGTATAATAAAAAGAACATTACACGGAGGCTTGAAGTTATGCATTTTATTTTCTCGTTGCAAAAACAATATTTTACTCACTCGCTGCGCTCGTTCGTGAAATATTGTTTTGCCACTCGAAAATAAAATTCATATCTTCGCGCCACCGTGTAATATCCTATATGTAATCTTTAGCTCGCCAGCTAAATTTTAGACTAGCTTGAAAGTTTGCCTCGTTATCAGATTAAAAAAGCATCCTGCAAACTCTCATGAGCACAGACGAGATAAATAAATAAAATAAATACTATTAGTGAATCCCTACCCGACTGAGGTAAAATATTTGAACGGCCGTAACATTTGTCATGGCTAATAAACAGATTATCCCAGAAACGTTTTACTGAAACCAAACTTAACCCTTTTTTGAAACAAATGTTTCAAATTAACGTTCGATCTTCCAAGGACCTTCCTTATCCGTGATTGGCAAGATATTCTGCAGTATATCCCGGATGGCAGGTCGAATTTGTCTCATCTTCCAGCAATAAACCAAAGGATTGAGAGACGAATTAAGAAAGACCAATGTCAAGGCGTAATAACTTAAGGTGTCGGTAAGGCTAGTTGTTTTTACAGTGCGGACAATATTTACCAACATATACGGTAAATAGTAGGCAAGAAACACAAGATAAACGTAAAACGTACCAACCATCGATTTTCTCAGCTTTGCGGCGGTTGTCGTTTCTTCCACATTCTGTTCTTGTTGTTGTAGTTGTAAGTCCTGTATTTGATTTCTGTGCCGTCTCACGGCCAAAAACATTTTGTAATAGAAGAATGCTGAAAGGATAAACAAAACCGGCGAAAGTGTACCTTTAACAAAGTACATTATTTCTCCGTAAAACTGATCAAGTATGGAAAAAAATGCACTTATTGCCCAAATTGACATCACTACAGAAACAACACGCTTGTAAGTCACAAGTTCCTGATATCTGAGATGAAGCTGCAGGGTTAAGAATCTGTCCGCAGTTAGCGCCGTGACAGCAAAGAACGATGCAAAACCAAGGATGATACCCATAAAATGAAAAGCTTTCTGAGTGAAAAAAGCAATGGTCGTAGGGTCGCCTTTTAACTTCATCACAAGAGAAACAACATACAAAGGGTGGACCAGAAATCCAACACCAAGATCAGAAACAGCCAGACTCAGCAATAGTGTTTTTAAATTCTTTGGCAGCGATGAGGTTTTTCTCAGTGCTCTAATTGTTATAATGTTTAACATAGTGGCGGTGTATGACAGAAAGACGTTGAAAACATAATTGACGAGGAGGGATGAGTCCATTGTCTGCCAAATACATTCACGGATGGCAGCTGTACAGGAGTTTACATAAGAAATTCAATAATTCTTTCCGCTACTTTATCTTTAATTAGTTGTTCAAACTGAACGTTTTAAGAAAATTTCGATTCTTTCCCGGCTGATTTAGTTTAACGGTCAAGTGTTCAGCCACGATCGTTCGAGTTTGCGTTTTTGCCAGGACGTCGAGAAACTGATATTATCAGAAAATTTATGTTTGAACCCACTGTCACTCCAAGTCGCTGTTAATTATACGAACAGCGTGGTGTTTGGGTAAAATTTTCTGCCAAGGCAGATGGGAATTATTTCAACATTAATAGCACTGTTTCAAAAACATAGTTCCAATAGCTTATGGTGGTTCTCGATCGTGAACAAATTAAAAAGAAGGATGATCAACCAAAAGGGCGGAAGTTATTGCATGCGCTTATAGTCATGATATCAAATACCGTTTCAAAAGTTGCCTTTTGACAGACATGCATGCAGTGTACAAGAAATGAAAAACATCAATATAAATACTATCGCCAATTAAGATGATGTCTTTCTTAAGATTCTAATTTTTTGTTGTCTTGCCATGAATTTATAATGTATGCAGAGCTCGACTGTTTACATAGCTTAGAATTAACATATGGCCTCGGCTCAACAAAAAACGACATTTTTAAAGTCTTAAAAAGCGAAATTTTTATAGCGGTATCTAATCATAAGAAAATAAAATTTTTGGCTCCATTATGAGAAGGAAAGCCGTTTGATAATGTGTTTCATCCGGGAAAACGCGAAATTCCTTTTCATATATATTCGCACCTGAGAGTGTAATAGGCTCACTCAGTCTTTTTTATATTTTTGCCTCGGGGCTGAGAAAAGAAAACAAATTGATCACACTGCGTGAAGGAAAAGAGTAAAATCATTTTTCTTGGAAAATGGTTACATGTACCTATTACGATCTAGAAGCTCCAGACACACTACTGGCGCGACATTTATTACTGGCTAGCGTGCACGAGCCAGTGATAAAATTTTCCCGGCTAATTCTCGCTTCCGTGGAAAAGTAACAAAATCTTGTTCATTGAGGTCATTATTCAATATAATAAACACAACGCAAGGATGTATACCATTACTGCAGATTTTCTCAGCTTTGCAGCGGTAGTGCCGTTCTGTGCTTCGTGCTCTACTTGCAGGTCCTGAATTTGATTTCTGTTCCTTGTAATACAATAATGCTTTATGTATATGAATAAGAAAAACTGGTGCAATTGTACCCTTGATCGAGAATGCTCTTTTTACATACAACCTATAAAAGATTGAAAAAGGTGCTCTAATCACCCAAATGAACATCACCGCAGAACAGGCACACTTCAGTGAGCCACACGATCCTGGTACCTGAGATGACGATGCATGGCTAATAATCAGGCCCCAGTTGTTCAAAACCTGATAGTGCTATCCACCGGATAAATCACTATCCAGGGAAACCAATTGCCTTACCCATTGGATAGAGATTTATCCAACGGATAACGCTATCCACCTTTTGCTGGGGCCCGCTTGTAACTTAAGCTGTAACTCCAAAAACCGAGTAATAACAAAGAAAGACTACCATAAAGCTAACAGCTTCTTCTGTCAGAATTACGTTCGTTTATCTTTATAACGAGGTGCACAGCATACAATGGCTTCAAGAGCCTGTTTACATGGAGGTGAGGGATCCCAGGTAGGTGAGGTAACCCGTCTGTCCATATCACTTCTCATGATCATTAAAATTTTATCATGTTTACATAACGGTTGGGGTGACCCGCAGTGGGTTGCATCACCTAACGAGGGTCCCCCACTCCATGTAAACAGGCCCTAGGACAAAAGATCATAGATTCTAGCCGAAGGCAATGAAGCCGACTGTCTAGTAGCAAATAGTCTGATTCTCATACGTCCACCGCGGTCGTTCCTGGGGACTCGAGACTCGAACGACATCGGACGTCTGATAATCAGGCTTAATGGCAGGCGACAAAATTGTGATTGTTCCAGCCAATTGACAATCAGAAATTTCTCTATTATCTCTTAATGCACTATGATCCCCAAAGTTATCAGAACCCGTAAAAATGAAATGATGAAAACGATGGTCAGTTTTATTAGAAATGGAATAATAATGATAGCAGTTTTTCTCAAATTTTGCTTTGTCATTTACGGTTCCACTGGTTCCAAGACAGGTGGGAAATGGGATGGAGAAAAGTTGTGAGAGAACCGCATGGAGACTGTGGAGAAATGGGGAAGTGGGGCGTATATTGCCCGTTAGCACTGTTTTTCGATACCTCATTGTATGTCAACACTTACGTCGATCACATTGGTTTCGCGCGAGCATTCAATGAAACATGGTGAGCGCGAGTGGAACGCTCATACACGGCACATTTTGAGATTTGACATTTTGACACGAGAAACGGTTTTTCTGGACACACAAACTTGCTGAAAGTGGGTAGTAAGGTATTTTAGGAGATTCTTACAAGTTCTCCTTTCCTCTTTTTCTACTGTTTTTCTCTCGCTCGCTTTTTGCCTCTTTCGCGCTTTTTTTCGCTTGTCATCACTGACCGAGAGCCTGGCACAGAGCATCTAGTAGAACAGTCGAAGATGTCCGAAGACTACCGAAGATTTCAGAGGAGGTCCATCAACATAAAGTAAAAACAAAGGGGTCCTAGGACCGTTCCTTGAGGGACACCTGAAATTACTTCATGGGGTGGAGATGAAACACCATCACAAACAGTTTGTTGAGTTCTGTGTGCTTCTTAGCCAGTTATTCAAAGGCCCGGTTATTCCAAAATGGTGTAACTTCATTAGGAGCCTTTCGTGTGGTACTTTTTCAAAGGTCTTTGTAAAATCAAGAATCCAACCAGATGAAATGCCTTCTTCTCATTAAGCGCAGAAGAAATATCATGTACGGTTGATAGCAGCTGAGTCTCAGAGTGCTTTTGGCGAAAACCATGTTGGGTGGGCACCAGGACGTTATTAGACTCGAAAAAGTCCATAATATGACAATGAACAATGTTTTCTAGGATTTTGCAAGAGATACAGGTAAGAGAAATTGGTCTGTAATTTTTGGATTCCTCTCTTTTTCCTTTCTTGAAAACTCCATGGACTTCTTTCCATTTCGACGGTAACATGGCTTGGACAAGTGATGATTGGAAGATCATCTGTTAGTATTGGTGAAATTTCTAAATGTAACATCTTTAAGATCCAAGGTAGAATGCCATCAGGGCATGGGGCTTTATCACATTTCAGACCTTTTAATTGCTTCTCAACTCCTTTGCAGCTAACTCGAATGGGACTTATTTCCTTGGTGCAGTTTGATGATGGGAGGACTGGATAGGTAGAAGTATTTTCTTTCGTAAAACACTACAAAATTGATTATTTAGTGCTTTTGCCTTACAAAAAGGATCGCTTGTCAAACGTCCATTGGCTTTAAGATCAGGAACACCAACTTGGTCACAACTTTTCGTCCTTTTGATATAAGACCAGAAGGACTTCGGATTTGCCCCCTTTCATAACCAGTCTCCTCTACTGACTAGGAAACGGCTTCCTGAAAAATATAGCTGTCAGACAAACGGAGATGATTATAGCTGATTTGTTGCCACACAGGTTTGAACGTGGCTGGTAAAACGCGCAACATGCTTTTTCAACTCGTTTTGCAGCAATTTTGCAAACAAGTTGCATATTCATTGTGCCCGTTTTTCCGGAGCTTAACGTAATTATGTAACTTCTATTCAACAATATGACGCCAATTTCTGACCATCACATACTGGAATATCAATCTCGCTAATGAAAAACGGAGAGAGGTATTTTGTATACATTTCTTCTTTCACCGATGCCAAACATGGATCTGGAACGAAATTGTCGCCCAGTGGTGGTGCAAAGAAATGCAGACGGCGCGCGCAAATTTTGACAATCTCTCACTGAGAACCTAAATTTAAGACGCGCATCTCTAGCGTTGTTCAGTTTGGTCACACCCGTAAGCAATGTTAAGAAGATCCGTTTAACCATCAATTACATGTACTATAAAACTGCTCTGTGCCCTGTGTGGTTTTCCGAGGTCATAATGAGGGGAGATAAGTTTCAAGTAACTAAATGTAGTTTCAAACTCTGTGTTTTAAGGGGGAAGAGGTTATCCCTGGATTTCAATTGAGATTAGCATATCAGGGTACGTTAGGTTAGTCTAAGATTCCGACCCTGCTCGCCATTAGAGTTCCAGTAGCTCAGTGGTTAGAGCGTCCGAACTAGAACTCGGAGGGTCGTGTGTTCGATTCTAATCTGGAGCTCGGAAAATTTTTCTGAGCTTTCTGGTGTTGAATTCTCTTTCTTCTTTAATACGGGACAATTAAAAGAACAAGCATTTACAATAATTTACACCATGCAAGGCATAAGAATAAATGGGTTAAAGAACTAAATGCATTCTTTTTTATGATCAAAATATTACTAGTACATAGCAGGTGTGATCATCAGTTTCCATTACTCACTCCAAATTTACATAAATACAATGTTTTTGCCCTTAGAGACGCTTTGAAAGAAGCAAACGTGATGAGGTTAATACTTACAATTTTTGTAGTACAAAGTTTTCAAAGGTGTCAGGCTGATAAGCGATTTTGGTATAACAAAAAGAGAAAATTTGAGAAAAATAGGCACTCAGAATGCTAAATCTAACTTACACTGCTGTTTAAATTTTTTCTACAGAACATTTAAACAAGGGTATATTAAAAATTATTGTAAGATTATTAACCCAAAAAATTAATCAAGAAAATGGTTTCACTGCAGGCGGAATGTCTGACATGCAAAAATCAAACAGTTAAGATCCTTGCAACATAAGGCGTTTCGCAAAATGAACACGTCAATCACTCAATAGTAGCTGTCCTATGTTCAAAAGATGTTCGTTAAAAAAATCAACCGACTGTATAAATATTTAATGAGGATATTTCCATCTTAGAATGCTTCCGTCTGTGCCAATAGTGATAATCCATTTTTGGTTTGGACAGATCTTTACTCCAGCGATACCGCCACCATGTCCTGTACCAATGTGGGTTACCAGCCCTTCATCGTATTTCCAAACCTAAGGTGAACAACACACTACGTTAGGATAGGAGTTGAGTATTAGGATACTTAGTTCACATCTGGTGTCCGAGCACTAATGCATACAGTGCATGAGAACTGACACAAAATGGTGTTCTGTTTGCTGGCTGGATAGTACTTTGACACAAGCAGCGCTTCGTTCTCGCAAGAA